ACGACTCTAACGCGTGTTCACTTAAATATACCTACTTTTACTTATCTTTTCTACTATTTTTGATTTTACTATCCTTGACAAAAAAAAAAAACAACAAAAATAAGAATCTGCAAAATCTGTCCACATATCCGAGTAACATACGTTTGAAAACTTGCTCTTCACAAAATCGACGAAATATTAAGTAATGTCAATACTGACTTTTGCTTTATTAAATACAAAACAATATAAATACTTGCATACACCTCATTCCCGTTTTGTGTACGCAGTGACCATAGAACATCATTTGACACTATCCTGACATAGAACTTTAAAATAGAAATATCATCACAAAAGAGGCTATGGCCCGGAATCGGACTAGAACCATTGGCAAATGTATATAAATAATTAAACATATTGTGTCGTATCGGTTTTTCCTATAACATAGAACCTGTTTGAGGAAACCGGTAAGAATAAATGTATGATTTAATATCTGCCGATAGTACAGTTATTTAAAGGAAATTGAGTAATTAGTTCAGAAAGTAGAAACTAAAACAATTCGAAAACAGATCAATTAGGAAAAGTATGGTGCATTTTTACTTACTAACTAGCCCTGAGGTCCAACTAGACCATAATTCTATATTATTGATTTAAACAAAACCCCTAATTTTCAAGTTTCCTCGATATTATTCCTCGATATATTAGTTCCTAAGATGATAGATTAGAAAAAAACCGTCCATATGAAAAAAAAAACATCTTTTACAACATTTCATTGGCATTTGATTTCGTTTTCATTGCGTCTCATTTTTAGTAAAGTTACCTATGTATTTTATGAATTTAACGTTTGAGTTAGTTGTACCAGCATTTTATACCTAAGAATTATAATGTCTATTATTAAAATTCACGAAATTTATTTTACCGAAAGTCGTAAATAAATTTTTTGTTTTGCCGATTTTTATAAGTTCGAAGATTCAAATGCTAGATGGGTTCTCGGTTCTCGGTCCGAACGACATTCCGATTTTCAATATTTCGAATAAACTGCTAAAATTAGGATTCTGATTCAGTCAGTATATTTAATATTTTAACGTTTAATTTAATTTTAAAAGATCTACTTTGTTGTTAATGTTTGCGTTTTTTTTTGTGTTTCCTCCTTCTCGTCATATGTAACTGCGTCGGGTACCATCTACTGTTATTGAATTCTTTGGGTTAGGTTAAGCCAGATACCCCCTATTGTTGGTGAATTATTTGGATTAGGTTAGGGTAGAACTGTGACCAGCGAAAGAAATTATTTTTATGTTCCAAATTTTGGTGTTTCGAATTATCATTAAGACGTAATTTTTGTTACTCGGTAAACTCGGTATTTTGAGCCTAGTAATTATGAACGTTAGGTATACTGAAATTTTTGAAATATAAAAGTAGGATGAATGATAAATCGGATTTGTTATATTAAGAATTTTGAACCATTCGGAAGTATGAAAATCGTATTTGTGACTGATGGAATAAAGTTTTTCGTATTTATGTAGTGTACCCGTTGCCTAGATATAGTGTGACTTTGCAATGAGCTAACCTACTCGGTTTCCACTTAGTCACCAGCCCCTCAGTACTTTTATGACTATGGGCAATAATACTTCTATGAAAATGAGAGTCATTCAGCTACTTACAAGAATATACATTTGTCCAGGAACGAATTTTAAACATTACAGATACCTCATAATAAATTGAGCATAGTTAAAAAAAACTATTTTATAACTTACACACCATGGAGGAGTTAAAGATGACGATAAATATTATCTGAAGTAGATTGAATTGAGAACACTGCTTTTTTAAATTCGGTTTAAAAAAACAGAGAATTGACATTTATTGTATTGTAACAGCTTACATAGACGAACCACAATGTAATTTCATAATGATAATTCGTAAATTATATAAGTTTATGCAAATAAAAATGTGTGACAAATACGACAGTCTTCGTGTTTGTCCCACATTTTTATACAATAGTGTGTAGCACTGCACATTTCTTTTACTAAAACTTATACTAAAACAAAATCTTTAGCTGATTAATAACATCCATTTAATATTTAACTTTATATACAGCAAATTCTTACCGAGCGATGGATGAGCAGTGATCCTTTGGGACTCATAGCTCAATACAATGGTAACGTTCCTTACAAGGTTGGTGGACGGTCAGGGAGTCTTACTTTGCAGTATTTGAATTTCTTTTCTCGGTAATTACCAGAGATGGGAATAGATAAAGTATATTTACCTACAGTTTGAGGAAGTAAGTAAAGTTGTAGAGTTGTTAATACCTCCTCTAAAAACTTATTATTTTTAGGAAATATACATATAATATATGTTTTGTTATTAATAGTTAATGTTTGTGTTTCAATCTAAATATTTTGCATGCCTATTTATACAGGCAGAATATAGCCTGTATTCTGTGCAAATAAATGTTTCTTTCTTTCTTTCTTTCCGTATTCTTAATCCGTCACCAAACGACTTGATTTTATGGGTGTCTAAACTATTTCCACAACACGATAGATGCACTTACTAGTTTATAAACCGATTTACGCAGTAATTATTTTAAAAATTAAAAGTTAATGAATAGAAGTACGTAGAAGTAGGGCCAAAACCTCCTTTCTAAGGATGGGCCTATGTCCAGAAGTTAGTGCACTATTAAAGGCTGGATGATGATGATGAATAACTACCAAACTAAAGTTAGTTAAAAAACTAAAGTAAACAACACATCGTTTAATAGGCTACTAGAAATCGCTTGGAGTTTGATTTACGGCCGTTTTTTATTGACTCACCAACAGTTTTTTAAACTTATTTGCGCAGGAAACATTTATTCAGGTATGCTAGTCTAGGGCAACAATTACTAATTGGTAAGCAAAGCATGCAATATTATCATATACCTATACCTAAGGCAGACATATATTGTAAATTAATTTAAATGACGAAATTATTGAATAGATTAAATAACTTAAAAACAAACTTAAAATGTGATTAACTTAAAATGTGATTTTCCGGAACTTGTTATACGAGTTAGTACGAATCTATCGACAAGATCACTGATCACTTACAATTAAATTAAAAACAGTTTTGAATGCTTTCTTCAATATCTTCAAGCAGTATAACTCGTCGTATAACTGTCATTGCCGTGTATGTAGTTCTTGTAGGTCTATGCACCAGATATTACATTCATTCATTTCAACTTTTATTAAATACGGTTTTATGTCTAAGATTGATTGGGTACAAAAATTACGTAATAAGTACAGTATTGTAATGTTTGTATTTCTCGTAGTTAGTAGGACAAGGACAACATAACTGCAACGAGAAGGAAAACTTGAAACAAGCCCTATACCAACCCGTTTTGTAAGCGTGGTATATATTAGGCCAAAACCTCCTTTCTAAGGAGAGGCCTATGTCCAGCTGTGGACTATTAGAAGCTGTTGATGTAAAGTTAGTATTTCTCCAATTCAAATTTTATTTGAGAGCACCTTTTACCCTCAAGCTCGCACTTCACGCTCATTAAACGTTCTCTCAAACGTTGTTCGCTTATGTTTTTATAGAAGTATCTGTATGTTGCCGTGATTTATAAATAATTAGTCACCTTATAAAACAGATGCTGCGTATAGTTGCAATTTACAGGAGCTCTTCGAGATTAGCATACCAAATAAGGCTATTCTCTTTGTTTTACAACTACCTATGTATCGTTTGTATAAAAATCACAATCTTCCTGTTTAGGTAGTTTGACGTAACGTTATTGTTTGATAAGTAAGACTGCCGAGGGCCTCGAGGGATATACGACTAAAATTATTTATTTATTTATTTATTTATTTATTACAACTATGGAGGATTTACAGCTATGATGATTACAATAAAAACAGTCAAGAAAACAGATAGCCAATAACAAATCCTCACTTATATAAATCAGAGATAAGTTACAGTGCATAAGACAATACAGAATAGGATCAAGAGGTATTATATAAGTTACAGGCACAGATCACTTACAAATTACACAGAACGTAATAATAAACACACAAAACAGACAGGACCTATAACAATAACTACTCAGACCCCCCACCATCACCCCTGAAGAATTTAAGGCTTAAACACCTCCTCGCTCCCGTTACACTAACATTAAAAATATCAATTCCAAATTGTTCACACACATTATTGAGGCTTCTAGTTGAACGAATAACAAAAGAATTCTTTCTATAGTTCGTCAGTGCAAATGGTACACTCAGCGGTGGGTTATAGCGAGTTCTTGACGGAATATTAATATTAAACTTAGATAAAAGTTCGCAGCAGTCAATTTCGTTACTAAAAATTTTTAATAATAGGGTACAATCAGCGATTTCACGACGCGTTGTAAGGGGTAGTAAATGGTACTTCTTGCAAAGGTCAAAGTAAATTTCCGAGTGATAAGGTACTTTCTGGTGAAAGCACAAATATTTTATGAACCTTCTCTGGATATTCTCAATTCGGTCTACATATTTTTGGTAGCAAGGATTTTTATGTTGATTTTCTCTGACCTTACCAATCGAGGTTTCTATCAGTTATTGAAGTGAAGTGGAATAACATTAGAAGTCCACGTGTAACTTAATAAATTGTACGAGTATTTACTTTAACAAGTGCAGAAATTTTTGTATCCCTTTTTAAATAGATATGTATATACGAGTATATCGCACGGTAGCATGTCATGATTGAAATACCTCGTTTTTATAAGAAGAAGAAGAACAGAAGAACTGGTAAAAATTTTAAGCTATACATAAAGTGATATGGGTCTAGTATATACTTTCTTTTTGCAGACAGTTTAAGTTGTAATGTGATTACTAGGTGATCTCAAGTTTTAAAATAAACTGTGCTAAACTATTTGTATTTATCGTTGTTAATACTTAATACTCACCATTGTCACATAATTTACATGTATAAAGATAACGCCAAATAACGGGTAGGTGTATGTACATACATATACACACGTGTCTCCGAAGGTGTAAGCAGAAGTGAATTAAAGCCCTTTAATGGAAGGAAAGGGATGTTATATATCCAGGTGCATAGAGGACAGTAGCGGTAACTCGAGTATTTTGTTTATTTAACTCATAATTTTGTTACTTAAGCTAGTTGTTAATTTATAACAATTGAAAAATACATGTACGAGTACATCACAAAAAAGAAGATATTTATTCAGATATATACTCACACACGGTGGAAGATCATAAGCTAACCAAACACATATAGGCTGTATCTGAAATTCAGCGTTAATATCTGCATTGCTTGCATTGGATCGGTACAAAGTACTTATCTATGTTTATCCTTTTTAATACTTTTTCTTGCCTATTTCTGTCTTTCTTTCTTCATTTTTTTCTGCCTTACCTTCAAGCATAACAGAGTAGCAGATTTGAATTAACTTCAGTTGAGAACTCCCTCTAACTTAAAGTGATCTGACCTTGAAACACATTTATTACATTTTCAATTCATTTAGAACCGATGACGATAAAAACTAAAATGTCAGATACAGTAAACTTGGTGCTAGGATAGACCGTAGAGTAAAAATCAATAATTCTACTTCATATATCGGTAAGTTCTTCAACTAAGATCAAATGTATTGGACCTCGGTGAGGTCTTTGACATATTTGTAATGAGTGCTACCGTCACTCACTCGACAAGTTCATGGGAGGTATTGTAGGAGGTGCTACATACGTAATCTGGCTAAATTAATCGTCATATCATGTCTAAGTCATGCTTATCTCTTTATTATTTTCTTGATTAATTTTACTAAGATGTTATGTTCATATGTAAAACAAAAACCATGTAAATATGAACGTTCTAGTAATTTCCCTTTACAAAAGCGGATATAAATCTTCAGCACTGAAGACTCATCATATTAATACAACGTAAGTGTGACGTCACTCGTAATACATCTCATCTCAGGTGCCTGTTACAGAAGCTTTTGATTAAATACCTTTGGAATTTCGTAGCTACCGAAACAAAGTTAAGTTTCCAAACTATGCCCATCAACAATTTCGTGTCTGTAATAACGTCTAATGAATATTGAATATCTGAAACTATTATGCCTGTTGTGTGTACGTATTGTTATCTATAATTTTGGAGGGGAGATGACATACCTACTATACGGGTTATGTTGTGATCTTGCGTGCGTGTGTTTGTGTGTGTATACTCGCCACGCCGACCTATAAAAGTCATTGGCAGGACATCTGCGTCCAGTAGAATAGTGGTCAGTGTTGTGCTCAACAGAGATAAAGCAGGTATACATAGATTAAAATATTAAGGTTTTAGTAAATTTGTTTTCTTTTCTTCAGAATTAGTTCTTAAGTACGCAAGTCCTTGTCGATAACTGAAAAAAAGATTTTAAAATAAACTTTATTAATATATAAGTAACATGTGTTTTACAATGTCTCCATTCGCCAAACTGTTCTAGCAGTTTGTAGGCGTTCTGCCCAATTTTTAACAACATTAGGACCTTAAATGCTAGTTTTTAAATTACTAAAATTAAATTAGTTACGTTTTTTTGGTTATGTCCAAGTCCATCGTTCTAACTATTACGCTACCATTTTTTAACACTTTCACATAAATTATTTTATCAGTAAATAGACTAATAGCTACCAATTAGTCAGACTATGAGGAATATTTTTTTTTGGATACTGGTATCAGATTAAAAGGCTCATCATGAGGATTTTAAAATGGTCACAGACGGTTAAAATACTAATAATTATAATATTACTGAAGACTGTTTATGCAACTTAGGTAATTTTAAGATTTGACCTAATGGACATGTAAGCATAGAATTCAGAAGTCTTGCAGGCGGAATAAGGCAGAGCTCAGCTCTTTATGACGTTACCCTCAAGTGCTCAATGTATTTTCGAAATAGGCCATAATAAGTAATAAATAATATACTCCGTCTTTTATTCCAGGTTAAAATGAAACTGTGTACGATTATCTTCGGTTTATTAGTAGCATGTGTGGCGAGCTTGGCTGCTGAACACGGTCCCCTACTGACCGCCTTACAGCCTGAGGACGATTATGGTGTCAGAGAAGTTGTTGTTGTGGACCCTCAGACGAGACAAAAGAGGAGTCTGCTTCTTGGTGAGTGTCTACTCCTAATATTTAATAACATACGATTTTGAAAAGTGCTACACATATTAAGAATTTTAATCCATTTAAAACAATTTCGACGTAAGTCTTACAATTTTTTCTTATAAACGAGAAGAGAACGTATAAACGAGAATCGTTCCAACCTATGTACTAAAGTGATTTTTTTTACCCGACTGCCAAGAAAGGGTTTTGTTTTTCGCACGTATTGCGCGTATCATGTAATATTCTTTATTACCTCATATCTGCCAAACCGTTGCACGGATTTATTTAATTAACATATCGTTAGATTTGTCTTGGTAACCCAAGTCTTCTTAGATAGGTGACGCGAAAAAAAAACAACATAACGACTGTGAGACGCTATAGTTAAAAGTAAAAAAATATTTTTTTTGGATACTGCAATAAATATCAGATTAAAGGGCATCGTGAGGATTTTAAAATGGAATTTTATAACACACATATTTTAATTAACTAAAATATGTTATTTTCTCTTGACCTTAAAAATGATTAAAACATCTACATGAAAATTCCTTTAAAGAATTAGACTGTTTACGGAATTTGTAACAAACGTAAAAAAATGTGAAATTCTCCATCTTATTATAATCGTCAATAAAAAGTGTAAAAAATAAATAATAAACCAGACTGCTTAAAAAATAACTAACTAATAAATTTAAATCAAAACTGAAAAGAAAAAAAACAAGTTCAATTAATACAAAATTATAATAATTTCATTATCAATACACACATTAAATAACACAAATAGTAAATTCTAATACGGAACATTGACTGCAATAGTCGGGACCCACTAAATAATTTAGACTAAAATCATTCTATCCAATATGGGTCCAGACTGTTGCAGTCAATATGTGTGATGGAATGGAAGTTTATAATATTTAGTTAGATGGTTCGAACTTCCCGGCAACAGCCTCTTCGAGGTACAGATATGCTACCTGACATATTTAAGCTATTACTAACGCTCCTCCGTCCGTCCCCATAAACAATATCGTGGTCTTATTCTTACCTTTTAAAATGTTTTTCTTTTTATATTGAACTCCCAATTTCCCATCGACTTCCTAATGTGCTTGTTTAACAGCCTTAATCTTGCAGCCTATTACGTAAGTGGGACTAAAATTGTATACATATTGGTGCCAAAATGTGTGTATAGTGGGACTAAAGTTGTACATATAGTGTCGCAAAATGTGGCCGTTCAATACGTCTTTTACTTTTTTTACATTTTGGAGATAAGGGCGCAAATGTAGGTATATAGTTAAGATTAATGTTTGAGTCTATGATTTTTATCTTCAATGTATGTATAATTTTTACAAAAGCGGTGTTTACCTATAAGTAATTGTTACATTGTTAATTGTTTTTCTTTAGTATGCCTATTTTACAAGTTTTGATGTAAACAATTGTTGGTAAACCTTAATAAATAAATAAATAAATAAATAAATAAATGTCAAATATTTATGATATAGGTACGATGATTTAATGTGAGACTAATTATCTCGATTATTAGTCTCGATTTCTAAATAATCATGAATTTCCTTGACGTAGGTTAATTGAATTCAGATCTCGAATTAAATCGGTTAATAATGTTTTCAAGGTGAATACTTACACGTAATGCACGCAATGTGGGCAAGTCTTAGCCTAAATACATAGTAGTGTTTGACTATGCGGGCATTGTAAATATTGACCTCAACTTGAACGAAATATGATTGTCAGTATTCATTAAGTTGAAGTACTAAGGTAACATTGTTGTATCACTTGATTAAAGGTCAAATACCAAAGGCGTTATAAAAAAAAAATCTTAATGTTTTAAAATTTGCTGAGATTTTATGTTATTGTATGTATAGTATACACACATACTCGTACAACAAAACAACATCATCATCAACAGCCTTTACTAGCCACTGCTGGATATAGGCCTCTCCTTAGAAAGGAGGTTAAACAAAAAACAACATATAATAATGTATTTCTGTTAACTACGTCTATTCTTTTTATCGCACTCTATTGTGCGCTCAATGGCCTATTTAGACGTAAATCGGTCCTTCACAGTCTTTAAGATTTACGAGCATAATCCTAATTTAATATTATACTAAAATGCAGTGGTAGCCAATTGATAACATGTAGCAACATGGAATGATAAAGCATATATTTATATAGCAATCGTTTTTATAGTGACTTATCTTAAAAATAGTTTTTTTGGCAAAATAAGCCCTTAAAATTTATAGTTTAAAAAAGAAAAAATCTAATTTTTGTTGAGAAGTATGAGTGGAGTAATAAAGTAAGTAATAAAGTAATGGGAGATATTATTACGATTAGGGATGACGAAGTGTGGACCCGAATAAGTCAGTTGTAGTTTTGAAAGAACACACACTTATCTCACCTGGTACCCTGCTAGCCTCTTAAAGTCACAGAGAGATTTGTTACGTCCCTGTACTTACCGTGAAATATTGCACTACCCAGGACAGGGTTAAAATCCCGCCTGTGGTCCGTGTGATTATAGTTTTACATGCACGCCGTGTGAAAAGATTAGACTTGAAATATTCTGTTACAGATTAAAGTAGAAGAAGAAGTAGCAGAAAGTAATTAAACAAATTTTCGTAATGTCATTTCGTTAAGTTCATTCAGTTAAGTTTATAATATAGGGAAATAACTGAGAATCTGTATTAAATTTTTCAGAAGAATAAAAAGGTTATGAAGGACGATGTTCTTTTTGGATCAGTTCCTACAGCGGCGGCTTTTTTTCACATAATACTTGTTATCACCTTATAGGTGATTAAAAAAACAGAATTTTTAATCTGAAAATGACTGAATGGATGCAAAATGAAACTAAAATGAATTATCGTATTTACGAGGTACTTTAAAAGTAAATGGGAACTAAACTTTTTAACTAAACGTTTATAACTGAATTAAAGTCAAAATTTATGTTGTATGTTGTTCAAAATTATTTAAGTAAAAAAATATCAATATAGAATTATAATCAAACGACATATGACAAAGTAAATAGATGAAGACAAATAATAATTTATATAAACTTAATTCAAAAAAGCAATGCTAATTTAGATTTACATCATCACATCACATCATCACATCACATAAAGTATACTCTAGTAATAATAATATTTCGGAAATATTATTATTATTATTACTCGAATATATAAAATTAAAATGACTGCTTTATTTGACAGTACTTATCAGTGCTGCCAAAAAAAGCATTTGAAAATATAGGTGCATACCGAGGATGGTTCAAAGTAACCTAGTAATAAGATCTAATGCCACATTTAGCAGCCGGAAAGACTAGGCCATAAGACAGGTGCATTGCTTAATTACTCAAAAATCGTTCACAGGAATTCCCAATAGAACGCGAACATTCTATTTACGCGTCAAGCATATTTGTAAGGCCGCTTTTGCCGTTGAGAAATTGATACTACGTAACAAATATGACATGTAGATCCCCAAAGACCTCGCTTTCTAGCCCTGGAGAGTGATAATATAATATTAGATAGCAGAAACGTAATACTGATTACTCAATAGGCAATTCCGTAGGGATTCCACTACGGAATTAATATATACATTAATGTTTTCATGATGGTAACCCGTGACGTATGAATTATATGACCTTTCATGTCGCTTATTCTATTCTATAAGGATTTCAAGGTATTCTTATAACTCTTATCACGTTTTACATGGATATGCTTTCCCGTTGCGCAAGGTACTAATAAAAATGGTTACTTTTTTATCACTTCTTCGATTAACCTCTACATTTTTCCATCTTGATAAGATCCCAAGAGATAAATGCTTCCTGCGCACCTCCCTGAAGTATACCATTTTAAAACACGAAAATGAAAGGAGATACGGCCTGTTAAGTATTCATTCATTTCATTTACATTTTTATAATTTTAAGTCTGTAAGTACGATTAGGCTCAGTAAAATTATCGTTTTGAATTTGAGAATCACAATGTATTGGCACTATACAAGGTGACCATTTGATCAAAAGCCATTTGAAAACATACTAGTCATAGAAACATTGATTAATACAAAAAATAAAAAAACGACAGCTTTTTCCACTCAACCTTGAACTTTTATCATTACTAGGTATTATAATTCAATTATATCATAAGAAAACATAAAAATGGTAATTCCTCAAACAGTGAATAATAAAATCAGATTAAGTGAATGAATTAAAGCTTCCATAAAAACCTGTAAAGTTCGGTTTGGTGGGTGGCATCCCACGTGAATGCTAATCTTTTGGACAGTTTATTTTTATTAACGTTTAGATACGCTGTCTATTTAATACGGTAATCGTTATAGATGCCGCCTTAAATCTTACTTAAAGGGTTATATGCTTATAAGTCACCATAGACGGCTCGTAGGAGTCATCTCGAATAATAGGCAGAAAATTACGCTTAATGTGTTACTTTTGGAATGTGTGCTCATTATATTTTTGACTTTCCTTGTAAAGGTGTTTTATATTATCTAATCGCTTTAAAGTGAAACAAAATAACACAACTATGTCCTGAGATCTGTGGTTGCTATGCAAGGAAAACTTGGCGCTTTTTATAAAGAAATATTAGCATATTCAACCAAGTCGAAGACGAATTTGAACCTTGTAGAAGTAAGCGTGCAATGAACCGGATCATTTTATTTGAAAGTCGCTTTAAACAGTTCTAACTCACATAATCATGAATGAGTTCAAGCTATTGATAATATGAATGTTTTATGTTTTCAATATCCCTTCTGGCTATACTATTGTTGTGTGGGCGAAATAAAAAGACTGATTTACATTTGTACGAGTATGTGAGAATTTTGATAATTTCGACATTAGTTTTAAAAAATCCTTCTTGATTTATGTATGAATATTTAAAAGTTTATAGATGTATTGATATACTCGTAGGTATAATAAACTAGTGGACTGCGTTCTCTTTTTTATTGTTTAATCTAAAACTCGTTTAACGTTGCTATGCTGACTTTAAAGTCTAGTGAAATATCATCATGGGAGATAAGTATAACAAAATACAGTAGAGCAGAGACCATTAATATTATTTTATATAAATAAAGGTAAAGCAAGTCAGACGTGTATTACATATTCTGATATTGTAAAATAAAATCATGGTCTTTTAGATTCGAATTTTTATTTAAAAAATTTAGATTCGGATCTGTTCAAACTTTTTAAGTAACTTTAATTATATCAATATTCTCGATAAATATACTGAAAAATGTGAAAATCAATATAATCGCACTTACACCCCGAAGCACGAAAAAGAATGTGTGCAGAAATTATTTATAGAGGTTACAACTTTAAATACATCTATATTTACGATATTTTTGCAAAAATCCTGCCAGTTATATCACTTTGCACAAAATTATCTCCGAAACTATAGTAGATAAAATGACGTGAGTTGGACACAAAAATTTGAAGTGTTTTTCTAAGTATTTCTATGTAAAAATGACAAAAAGGGTAGAACTCGACTTAAATCACTCATCATAGGAAGGAAGCACGGATTTGTATATTTGATTTTAAAATAGATAAGCTTAGTATAAACATACGTTTCACAGAATCCTTAGGATCTGTCTTCCTTGTCTTCCCACAGCCTTTTACGGTTTTTCATAATATTGTCTTCTGTGAAGTCTTGAGCAAATCACACTATTTTTGATAGAAAAACAAATGGTCCCCTCGACAAATTTATCTACATATTTTTTTTTGGGGCATTTAGGAAACCAATAACATATACCAAAATGATACGCCACTAATTAAAAAAAATAATGACATCAAAAGATGACTAAACAAATATCGACATATAAATCAAAACACTATCGATACACGTGCTGTCATTAGACAAAGACAACTATTGTACTTTACGCAATGAGCGAAAGGGACATTTTAAAAAGATATCAACGGTTACTTTATTGTTATTACTTTGGACCACTATGAGTTGAACTCCGGTGCATTTGAAATAGGTTAAGGTTAAGAATATAATTTACTTACCGATGAAGTGTTACACCATCTTTTTGGTAACTTGATGTCTTAGCTGACTTGCCACACCATTTCACTGTACAGGAATCCACTTCTTATATATTTTGATATAAAACTATTTTAAATTGTCAAGAACTTGGACGTGCGTACGGGTCACAAATTTGATCGTTACTAATGTCGTGATTCTTAGCGTCACGTCATATGCTAGCTACAGCAAGTACGTGTTGCGCACCTTTGTATGCGGAATCTATTGGGGGTAATCTGTGGGTATAGGTATGTCTCAATCACTAAAATCGTTGAATCATGATGATTGACGAGAATCATGCTCGTTATTACTCTTTATACTCGTTCAACATTATTGAACATCATCTGTGTAAAGTCTGTTAAATTGTTCCAGGCGCAAATAGATAATTAAATCAACACTTTGTTGTCAATTGCGTAAAAAATAGTTTGCTAACATAAACAGCTTCATGTATTTGTGATGTATTAACAGTGAGTTATACGCCTTGTGTATAAGATTAGAGATCATATAACACAATAAAAAATAATGAAGCGTCCATAGTATGATACTTAAGTAATAATAATGTTAATAATTTCACACATCTCACACATGGCAGCCTGATCCTAAATTAGACAGAGCTTGTGTTACGGTAATCAGACTGTTGATAATATAATTATACTTAAATATTTCTAAATTCACACATTAATCATCAACAACCTTTAATAGTCCACTGCTGGACATAAGCCTCTCCTTAGAAAGGAGGTTTTGGCCTGCTATACCACGCTGGCCAGACGGGTTTGTATAGGGTTTGTGTCAAGTTTTCCTTCTCTCTGCAGTGTTGTTGTTCTGCGTAGTTTTTTCCCTTAGTTGACTCTTACTACACCCACGGGATGAATAGGGGTGGTGGCAATCTGTATTCTTAATCCGTCACCACACGGACGCGACGACGGACGGACGAAATTCACACATAGTATAGAAAAAATATACCCAGATATAGAACAAATGATCGTACTCATCTCATAATTATTTGCCCTGGGTGGCAATCGAACCCTCTACCTCTGGCTTAGAAGTCAGGGTAACAAACCACTAGTAATATTTTATTTCTTTCTTACAGGTGCTGGTGTTCTCGGCGCCGGTGCTCTTGGGGTTGGAGCCCTCGGGCTGGGTGCTGGTCTAGTCGGTGCCGGTCTCATTGGAGCTAAAGCTGGCTTTATCGGTGGTGCGCTAGCTGGCAAGGCGTTCAGCGGCAGGGGTTATGGCGGACACGGCGGTGGCTACGGCTACGGCGGTGGATACGGCTACGGCGGTGGTTACGGCTACGGCGGCGGTTACTATGGTGGTGGTTACGGTGGCTACGGAGGCGGCTATGGTGGCTACAGGTAAGTTGAATTTTAGATAAGTGTGATTTGCTTACAAACATTAATCATTTGCACAATATTTTTAATAAATAGTAGAAAATAAACATATCTAGCTATAATAAGTAGTATATGTTGCATTTCAAGTCTACGTTTTTTGATGGAAGAAGATAAGTCGAACACGTCAAGTTGCTTTTAATAACTTCTGTCCTGCATTATCCTTCCTTGCTCTAGATAAAATCAGACAGCTTGTTCCCCTAAAATATGACATTGTCTTGAAATGTCATATTTTTGGAGAGACAACACCACCAACTACAACTTCCTTACTCATTTGTAAGGCAATTGAAGTGGGGGTGATGTGTGTTGTAAAATGAGTGAATCTGAACGTAATACTAACTTCTATAGCGACGCTGTTCTTCGCTAATATTCGTAGTATGTGACTGTAACGACCCAGAAATAGGATGTAATAAGTTTACTAATTTAGTACGGTGAAACTGGGTCCTTTTCTAGTAAGTTTCCTTCCATAGGCACCAACTAATTTGAATAGTGTAAGGAATAGTTTCAGATGTAAAAAAAGGAAAAAGATTTTGAATAGTGATTAGTATGTTTTTTACTATTCTTTACTAAAATGAAATATTATTTGATATAGGAGACATTAACTGGACTGGACCCTAACAACAAATGCCCCACTTGTACGTTTGTGACATTGGATATGATAAACAGTGCGACCAGCAGAACTGTACACAGTACTCTTAATGGCAAAAATATATATCAGCAATTTGTGTCTTTAATTTGTGTCTGTTCACTACTTTTTATTGCCATTGTAGTGTATTATTGCTTATATTTATATATAATTTAATTGTATAGCACTTTCTATACAACGAAAATGTTTATTTATCCGTAGCTAAAAAAGTGTATTTTTTAATATTGTGTTATATTTCTGTAGATTCCTTTGTATGTATCTAACATATTATATATTTTAAATTTACTAATGCTATTATCTATAAATCTCTATCGTTATATGTTTGCTTTGTATATTTATGTACGTATTATTATATATAGTATAGTACGTATTATTTTATCTAATAAACGTCTTTTATTTGAACTAATTTATTTTATTTCGTTATTTTACCCGCACACTCTGCTACAATTTAAAGTTTTATGAAAAAAAATGTATGACATTTGCACTGTTTATTTTCAGGAGAACCTACATCATTGAAGACCCCTACTGTAACTACTGAACCAAATGACTGAAAATATTAAATATGGTTATTTATGTGTAAGTTGATATGAATGAAAAGAGCGTACAAAATAATTAAAAAACACACTAAAAATTATCACTAGTTTTATTTTTTTGGCCGCTTATTTTATGAGGAAGTGATATCGACTAAAGAGGCGACGAGAAGGAAAAGGAAGAGGGCCAGTACTTTCCTTTCTTATAAGAAGTGGCACTAGGCGCCATAGAACACAGAATGATCTACGACCTCCATGAGAGCTGTTTTGGAGCCAACGCTAGGCGCTACGCTAAGCCTATTACTCTGGCTGAAGCAGGCCTGAGACGGCAGCGTGACGTGTTCCACACGCGCTGGTGTGGTGTTTTGTAGCTCCTAATGATGGCCAAGGTCTGTCGGGGTTGTCGGGACTCCTTTCCTAGGACAAAACTCATTCCCTTGCAATAGAACCACATGTGGCGAAACACCGTGTGGTTTTAGTCGGTTCGATACCGATATATAACTTCGCTGTCAGTCCTGGTGAGGTTACACAATGAACTATATGTTCTATTTATCTCTTAAAGGAAATATTTATAAACATACGCTCTCGTCCCCGAGTAAAGTAGAGATTTCTTAAAAAGTATTCGATTCCAAAAGCTTAACATAACTGTATGATCAGTTTTAGAGTTTGAGTTAAAATTCTAGATTGTAAAAGATTCTTATATTAGCATTCGTTGAGTCGTTATTTGGTGAGTATAATATGCGGAGAATAGTATCTCGGGCTAATAATGAACAGGTCTGGAATTATTTTGTAAAGTCGATTAACGATAAAATCTCCTTTGTTCTGTCTGGTAACACGAATGAGCATACATAAATTGTGACAGTTACAAATTTCGCAAGTAATTCATGCAACTTGTAAACTACGAGTAAATACTTGAAATTTGTATAACTTGATAGTTATTATTCGAATGATAAATCGAAGCTCTACAACTGTAACAAGTGGTATCACAACATTGAACGACATACAGTTGTCAACCGATATATGTATTTGCTATAAATATCATCGCGTTTGATTTGGTCGTGCATCACAGTATGTACTGGTGGATGGAGCGGTGCCCGTCGATACGGCTTTAACGGAGATGGATGGCTCTTGCCCACGCCAACGCCTTTTTAATCTCACCTACAAAAGAGATATATGGGATGTGCTACGATGCTGGAGTTGACTATGAAAATAACATAGTTTTTTTATAGTAGTATTTATTTATTGAAGCTGACTTGATTTAAAAATAAATTAAAAGAAGTCTAATTATATTTCTAAGTTGCTAAGCAAAATCAGATAAAGATATTGAATTAATTGAACTTTAAACATTGTGAATATTAGGCAAATGAGGTTCTATAATTAATATTTAGAACACATTAATGAGTAAGGCATCTATCATCTCAGATAAAAGTGTATTCAACTCAACTTACTTCATCAAACTCAAGACAATCAATTTATCAAAGAAATATAGATGTATAATATTGTCATGGTTTAACAAATTGAGTAACAATTGATGATATAACAAATATTTGAAAACCCCAAGTTGCATTGGTCAAACCTAGCGAGTTTTCAGATGCTTTTAAATGGGATCTAATTTCCTTTGTGACAAATTTTATACATGATTTGTGTACTAATAAATAATGTATAAATATTATAATTATATCTCTACTCGAAACACTTTAGAATGGTAATGACCGGTGTGTGAGGCAGTGACAAAACTGAGGAACTTTGACTTATAATATTCGTGGTAACATTGTCTTTTTAATCATTGAAATTCAAGTTTTTGATTTATTCACGACACAATTTGAATTCTCTGAACTCTGCGGCTTTAAGAAAAAGATGATAAGGCTTTTTCCTCGATTTGACGGGGCAGATTTTAATAAGGAACTTTAAAATAGCTACGACTATCCCCGCGGGCAAATTACTAAATGAGTTTACTAAATGAGTTTACGTTATTTTCTATGTATTATGTACTCATTATACATTACAAAGTTACTTATTTATTATTTAATTACTGCTAGTATACTAAGTAATAAGTTTAAATTCATATATATATATACATATATCTATATATATAAAAGAAAGTCGTGTTAGTTACACTATTTATAACTCAAGAACGGCTTTACCGATATGGCTGAAAATTGGTGGGGAGGTAGCTTAGAGCCAGGAGACGGACATAGGATACTATTTAGTCCTTTTTTTTTTGTATCGGCGTCGATCACCAGATGACAACGGTGGAACTGTCACAACAAAAGTGAAAAGAATGGATTTCGTTGTCGACAACAGTTGGATTGTTCCATATTCGCCACTTATTTCTAAAACGTTAAAGACACATTGCAACGTTGAGTATTGGTCGGAAGACCATCTGCGTTGTTTGTTTTTGCGCCTGATAAGAAAAGAAAAAATGTCGTGTATCACAAGGTACTTAAGTGAAGAGCAACCTATGTACTGAAATGCAGAAACAATAATAAATGATTAATGTACTTCATTTTCTAAGAAATAAATAAATTATTTATTGCCTTTAAGGCGGAACAGAGTTCGCCGGGTCAGCTAGTATATATATATATATATATATATATGAATTTAAACTTATTACTTAGTATATATAGAGATATATATGAATCTCGGAAACGGTTAAAACGATTTCATGAAATTTAGTATGCAGGGGGTTTCGGGGGCGATTAATCGGTGTAGCTAGATTTTATTTTTAGAAAATTTACCAAAAAAATACCGAGCAAAGCTCGGTCATCCAGGTACTATGATTAATTATAGCAAAAGGGGTTACAGTTAGTACTATCTACGTGTTACCCACTAAGTGTAGTGCATTTCTACACATCCAAGTTAATGCATAATATATGCGTACATTTAATTAAACCAGCAGTCTAGCACTAAAAGCTTCCATTAAGAACGTGCCGACATTCAAAGACACAATGACTGGCAATACAGAATACGCTGATGATGTTTCGCATTTTGTTCGAAAGGTCATAAGTAAAATAGTAGGAGTATAACAATGAAGAAGGTCTATATCGCTTTTGAACAGATCTGTAGACGAAGGCAACAATGACGTAGATTAATTACAGCTCAATAACGACGGTACAAACTTATCGTGCGCCATTGATGGAATAGATTATGAGAGCCATCTAGTTCGAACACTCTGTTCGGATAGGGTGTTTATGCTATTCGTGACTTGTGTCGTGAAGCTTATATTTGTATACGTGTGGGGATACTAAGTTTATTATTTCTTTTACTCATATAATATAATAATATTTTGCCACTGAGCTTGTACTATGGGTACTAGACAACTGATATAAATACATATATACTTTTTTTTTTACTACATTCATATTATACACAGATACTCTTAGACCAAATTAAACATTAAATGTTGATGCACATAAATGTTTGACTTCAGCGGGAATCGAACCCGCGACATTTGGAATAGCAGTGTGTAACGACACAAACCACTACGCCATCCGTGCAAATCAAGATTCTATCAGAGGTGACCGATAAAAAAAAAGGCGGCAGGGTTAAAAAGGTTTAAAGGAGTAAGAGGAGTTATCTTTGCTTTGGGTAGCAACTTAAACAGCTGATATGAATTTAAAATGTTAGCTCACCGTTTTTTGTCCGTCTTATACTATACAAAGCCAAGATTTTCTTATCAAAGATAATGTAAATTTTTCTAACCTGATTTTATCTAATTGAGACCGTGACGTGAAAGTGGGACGGCAGTAAACCGTGGTCATCGAAACTTTTCAAATAAAACCAATGAGACCCTTGTTTACGTACTTTGTTGCTTTATCCGCCCTTTTCTTTGTTCAAATCCAAGTTTGTCGTGTTCCTTCTGTAATTTGTGCGGTTTCAACTATTTTATTGGGATGAAGAACATTGAGTTAGCCTTCGCATTTTGTTGTAGAGTTAGAATAAATAGATTTTGTAGAGCGTAGCGCGTAAGCGCGTATGAATATTTTATTTCAAAAAATATTTTTATAATGAATATAAGAAACAAAAAGAAGTGAATACTTCTTTAGGCGCGTTGGGCATTTTTGACCAACAAACGAAAGAATGTATTTTTTGAGATGGTAAAAACCATTGAACTCGAGGGCGATATACGAGGGCTGCTATTTATGTATCCGGAACTGGCCAGTTACAGAATAATTAAAAATTTATAACATTAAAAAATGGCCTCTTTGGCGGGGGGCTAGCTCAAAAACAGTGCATCGATCAACTCACTTCGACTTTTTGGACGAAGCACCATCAAAAACAACTGTGTAACACTGGTTTAGTGAGTTTAATCGAGTGCGGTCTGTGCTCACGGACGAGTTTAAGGAAGGTCACTTTAACTCGGTTGTTGTATTTCAAAATATTGATGCTGTACGGGAACTAATAATGCAAGATCGTCATGTTACATATCGCGAGATAGAGACGTCTCTGGGAATAAGTATCACGAGCATATATAAAATATTACACGTACATTTAGTTGTAAAAAAAATTGTTCACGTTGGATTCCGCAACACTTGAGAATTGACCAAAAACGGGCTCGTGTCGATTGGTGTAAAAAAAATTTACAAAAGTACAATCAGGGTGCATCAAAAGCTGTCAATAATATCTGTACAGGTAATGATTATTGGATATATGCGTATGATCCTAAACTAAACAACAATCAACGGTTTGGGTGTTCCAAGACGAGCCGAATCCAACAAAAGTCATTAGTTCAAAAAGCACTTAGAAGCAAATGGTCCCTTTTTTTGGCTACAGAGCTACAAGAGGATCGTAAAACGGTTAATTCTGAATGGTATACGACTATTTGTTTACCAGAAGTCTTTGAAGAAATAATAAAAAATAACCGACAACGCCGAATCCTTCTTCATCATGACAATGCTAGCTACCACACATCGGCCGAAACAACTCAGTATTGGGAAGATCAAAAGATCCAATTAAAGGGCCATCGGCCGCCGAATGGGCTGTTGATGCGTTTAAAATGCATGTTTTG